CATACACACATACTATACATACATATATAGCTCAAGGTACACACACACATACATGTACTAGTGGAGGTGATAGGAGCACCTCTCACCAGTACTCGGTACTCACTTTGCAGATGCTCCATGGTGGGGAGCAGCATACAACCATACATATAGCTCACGGGCACACATCTATGACACAGAGTACATACACACATACGCAACCATAGGGTTGGGCGGAGGTTACGATCAACTGATAATGATGATAAGCGTCTCGATGATAAGTACCTGCCTTAAAAATACAGCTAGGGTCTGTGGTGGGAGAGTAGAGGGCGTGAGTCACTGGTTGGTCCGGTGGGTTCTAAGTTCTAACTGGTGATGATGATAGGCGTCTCGATGAACAGTACCCCGCATTAAATATACAGCTACGTCTGTGGTGGGAGAGTAGAGGGCGTGAGTTACTAGTTGGTCAATTTAGGGGCCAATAGGTGATTGCTTGAGCCTGGCGTCCAAAGTACCCATACGACGACGCTCGTTCGACTATGCTTCAACCAGGGCTGGGCCGCTAGCCCTGGTGCCTGTCACTGTTGTGCGGTCCTAAGTTGCCCTCGATATTGGTAGGGTGATGGTCCTGAGTGCTGGTCACACTGAGGTAGGATAGTAGGAATGGGGGATGCGTTAGGAGTATTGACGCGAGGATGGGATGGGTGGTGGCCTCGCCTCCTCAGAGCGACCACGGCTGACCACTTCCGGCGATCAATGTGTGCCTAGTAACTGGCCTCTACAACACCCTGGACTTGAAAACAAACAAACAAACAAACAAACAAACAAACAAACAAACAAGAGGCATGATAAAAGAGGATGATAAAAAACAACTACACATTCTCAAAGGACAATCAATGGCAGCCGTAATTCGATCCACGAAATCAAATCCTTAACTGTGCACAAGGGTGTGTCCATGATACTCTGAACGAACGGACACTGCAGTAGCTGTGCTCCCCCCCCCCCCCCCCTTCCCCCCCCNCCCTAAATGCTATGGAAATCTGAAAGAGTAATCGTGGAGAGATGTTGGAATTGGAGGTGAAATCACGTAGAAGGGAAAACCTGGGTAGCAGAGATGATGACACCCAGTTTGAGTTCAGTTTGAGTTATGCACCGAACACAAGGAATCGTACCTAGATTAGCGTGCTGGGCTAACTGGCATGATAGAAGCAGTAAGTGCTCCCCCAGTCCTCTCCCTGGTTGATCTGGCTTGGTACGGTGTCTCTTGATCTTTGGGGGGTAGGCTGCATGGTGACCAAATGGGTATAGGGGCGAGATCCTGCCAGAGCTTAGGGCGCTTATCTGGCGGCGATAGGGCTGAAGAGGCGGGTCACCCACCCTTCCCTCCTGTCCCTTGTTTCTGCATTCCTGATCGAATGGTGAGCCGAAACCAGGTAATGACCCTGGCACTCTTTTTCTTGACGGGGCACTGGACCCTATTTCCAGAAGCGGTCGAGTGAAACAGAGGTTGCTGGCCATATGAAAAGGGAGAGGCGTAAGCGGCCGAGTGAAACAGAGGCTGCTGGCCATATGAAAACCACTATTCATGAGGGAGAATGCACCTATAATACTAGAAATGTGAGGATTACCATCCTGTGCCACTGGGACCAAAAAGGGCTCGCGGTAGCCACATCAAAAGTGCTATTTGGGAAGAAACAATGGAGGGCTGCTGGTTTGAAGGTCTGCAGGGTTCAGGAAGGATCTCAAGCACTGCTGTCTTCCCTCACACACGTAATGCTCCCTGATAGTGAATGCACACAAGCTACAGTTCAATGCAGTCGGACTATGAAACACCCGCGGACGCGATCTCGGATGGCGGACGCAGATGGGGCCGCGTCCGCATCCGACCTGGTCCGCGCCGCGGACCCGATTTTACCAGAATTTTCCTGAATTAAATAACAGGTATATATAAAATTCCCTACAACCCCATATATATATCGTCAAATAGAACTGCCCGGTAAACCGTAGGCAGAGAGGGAGAAGAGGACAACAAATGAGGGGCTGTGACAAACTGTTTCGTCGGAGTTTCACCGACTCATCAGGAGGCTATATATATTGTCACAAACAGAGCTGCCCGGTAAACCGTAGGCAGAGAGAGAGAAGAGGACAACAAACGAAATATGGGGTTATAGGGAATTTTAAGCCCTACAACCCCATTTTTTTTTTTTGGAATCGGACTTTGTTTAGGATTTAAAAAAAATAAAAAACTAAATTCGATTTAAAGAAAATTAAAAATATATATATAAAGAAAAGCTGGATTTTTTTTTGGTCATTTTTTATCATGAGATATATGGTCCCTGAGTTCACCTGTATTTTTTTAGAAATGAATTGCTGTTTTTTGCAGGGGTATGAGGTGTTTTAAAAAAATGCAGATACAAAATTTGAAAATAAATAAAGAAAAAACTTCAAAAAAGGGGTTTGATTGATTGATTGATTGATTGATTGTGATTGAGTGAGTGAGTGAGTGAGTGTGTGTGTGTGTGTGTGTGTGTGTGTGTGTG